TTATATATATATATATATATATATATATATATATATATATATATTAGATATATCTAGCTAACTACAAAGAAAATTATTACGAAACAATATGCGAATGCTCTCTTTAACCGCATATTTATCGACTGCGTAAATGATCCTCAAACGTCTTTAGTCTTTAGTGGAAACGCATAAATGCAACATTCACAAACATTTGTGAGCGTTTACATCTCAGATTGTATTATCGACATCTTAAATAACATTCACTGCTTAGTAGAAGAAAATGAGTATGATCGATGGCAAATGTTCACGAACATACTACTCGTTAGCATTTATATAGAAAAATTTGTCACATATAATTATATATATTATTATATTATGTTTAAATGCTCACAGATTTTTATGAATATTGTTCGTGATTAATGAGTATGTGGATTTTAATGTTGATTTTTTTCTATGATTATAATGTTTATATTCTAAGTTAAATTGTAAAATGAGTGCCATGAGTGATGTAAAACAAATTGATCTGTTTTTTTTTTTTTTGCTATTACGAATAATTTGTGTTAATTGAAGAAGCGTATTACCTTTCCTAATAGTTGTTCATAATTCAGGCTTTCAATGGCCTATGTTGAATTGATTTTTTTTTTTTGTTCATTTGTGGATAATAAAGGTATCAATTTGATCTTTAACTAATTGAAATATGATGTTTATGACACAATACATAGATAAAAATTAATTTGGTGACATTGTCATTCACAAGTGAACAACATATGAGCAATCTATTTATAAATATATAAATATATATATATATATATACATATAATATTAAACATGTAATATGATTAACAATAATGATCATTTAAAAGTAACATTAAGGACCAAAGATTTAATAAGTTTTTATAAAAATGCAGAGAGCTTGTTACAAGCAATTGTAAAAAGAAAATTTTTTATATGTTTTTAAACAAAGTGATCATTATAATTGCAATAAGTGAAAAGATGGGTTCCAAGATCTTTTCACTTGGTATATAGGTACAATAATTAGAAATATTTACTCGGCTGAAAACACAAATGATCTTTTAAGCAATTAATGCACAGAAACAGATTTTTAGCAATATATTGCTATTTTCGTGTATTTGCCTTTATTGTATGTTATCCTTGAAATGGTCGAACTTGAATCGCACAGGGTGTGCAGTATTTTTAAAATTAATGTAACACATTTAGAGACAAGGTTTACTATTTCATCAACTTTTCTTTAGGTTTCACTTTACATTACATGTATCTCTGCATGTATTTTTTTATTATATTATATTGAGGTGTTTCTCATTAAGTGTGCAAAGGAATGCTTGTGACAATTTGTAAACATTCATGAGGTTGATAGTTACTTCAATATTTACATTATATATTGTAAAAATGAACACATACTTGTCAGATTAGTGTGAATGAAAGGCAAGCTTTAATATACAGTATGAAATTTTTAGCATAAAATTAAGTTTCAACAAAAAAAAGAAAAATATGATGAGAACAGAAAACCATGACAGTAGCCTAATAAAGCAAAATATAGGCCTAAGCCAATGGTACCTTATGTAAGCCAGTGTACATACCACACCATTAAATCATTAAGGAACAATAAATTGTTGTGTACACAATATTATATACAATCTTATACAAACATATATATATATATATATAAATTATATATATATAAATTATATATATATATATATAATATAAAAATATATGTAAATTGTACACATATTTAAAATTATGTTATTTGATTATTAAACAATTATAAATTATATGAAAAAATATATGTTATTTTAAGATATACCAATTTTAAATTAAAGCCTAGGTTACATTTAATAATACTATTATTATAGTCATCATTAATTCTTGTATGTATCATTCTATGAGTATAATAGAAAAAAAAATGAAAGCAAGATATAAATTAAAATGTTTATTTTGCAATTGTTAATTAAATATATTTGTACATTATTATTAAGAGATATATTTCTTATCCATAAAATTATGTTTTTAGAATTTTTATCTAAATTAGAACAATTTTTGATTTCATACTTTAATTTTAGACAAATAGGATGGACATAAAATGCTTTGAGTACCAAGGTATAAAGAGATTGATACTTATCAGTAATAATATCTTTTGCTAGAGTAATGATTGCTCTAGCATGATTTTTTCAAAACCTGTGGGTGGAGGATGAATAAAGTTATCCAAAATTAAGTCTAAAATGGCCCCGTCATCCACTATAAAGAATTATTAATTTTTATTCAACCAATTGAAGCATTATTATATTGTTTTAGTTTGCAAATAATTACCATAGAGTACTGGATACACAGTTCCCTTTATACCCATAACTGGACCACCGATTTGTTTTCCATTTAAGTAGAAATTAAGTTCTATATGATCATAAGATATACCCTAATGAACAAAAGATCATTAATTCATGAACTGATATATATTACTATTCATACTTACTATAATATCTCCTTCTTGGACTGGACTTTGAATCTTATGTATTTCTTGCTGATTATGCCTTATAACAGAATCAAAATTGAGAGCCCAACTTTCTTTGTCACTTCCTCCGGTTGTAACATTTAAATCTGTAGATCTAGTGGCTAATCCTATGGCCCATATTCCACCTTGTTGTATCTTAACTTCAAAATAACTTTTACTTTGGACAAGAGGAGCATTTGTTAAGGCACCACCACGACCACACACTCTTAGACCATTTTTTACTATGACAACTTCATGTCCTGTATCAATTTGACAATATTTTCCTTAAACACCATTATATTTCGCAAAATTTCTTATCGTATAGATTATGTAAAAGAACTCTTATTATGACCGGAATACATAAATTATCAGTAACACTAAACGCACGTCCTTATCTTGCGAAAAGGATAAAAATGTAAATTTTATGTAAATATGATGATAAACAGTATCGTTAACGCTTTCAAACACTATTATTAACGTTATTTCAAAGTAAAAGTTACCCATATAAGACGTGTCTAAAGATATAGGATTTGGTTGTCTCTTTTGTGTTTGAGTTGCGGCAAAGCCAAGGCCGTTGAAACAGTTTCTCAAACAGCAAAACATCATCTTTGTTCCCTTTCTTCTCTTTTCTTTACGGTTTGTTTAGATGAACACACGAAGCATTGTAACACCGTTAAGAGAAAAATTCTCTTTTCTCCTGCAGAATAAAACGAACGACTCACGTTATTTACTTCGATTACACTGAAAACCCTAAACACCATGCAATACCTAGGTATGATAGTAAGTTAGTGTTATACTCGGCGTATTTCAATATAGAGATGCACTTTAGGTTTTAGTGTGTAGGTAAGCTATGTGTAGATGACTGAAAATGGCTTCCTTTCAAAATTATGCAATTAATATTAAATTCTTATTTATATTAAGTTATGGATACGTTTCATTTTTTGTTCTATTTAATATTAGGAGCTATTTTTAATTTTAAGTATCATTGCCGTATAAACTAGATGTAATACATTACATCTAAATTTTAAGGTTATATTTTTTTATTGCGTAGTTCATGACTTAGTCTAATTTAAACTGAGTTTAACTTTTAAGTTACTCTTGAATTAAATTAAAATTTGACTCAATATTAAAATTAAATATGATTAATCAATTAAATATCTTAAATGTATAAAGAATAAATGAGAAAGTAAGGAAAGAAAGAAAAAAGCTGTAGTAGCAAAGGCTAGTATTTATTTGTTTATTTTATACAATAAAAATTTGTATTTATATTCGACTGGGATACAACATCTGTAATAAAATAATAGTATTAACAAATTTATATTTATGCCATACAAAATAAATAAATTATGAAACTTACAATTCTGATACGGTGACCCATAGCTTTGGCTGGCAGATTCCTCTTAAATTTAGCACGTACTGAACCACTGGTTCCATGTGGTCGAGTTACTTTACCCCAAATAGCCCTAACTTTAGTTTTCCTACTTTTTTTTCCAGGAACAGGTGTCTTATTTTTCGCCTATAAATTATTATATTAATTTATATTATTATGTTTGCAATATGAATAAAATAATTTAAGAAATTACCTTATATACATAAACACAACGTTTTCCTACGTAAAAGTCTGAATCCCGTTTAGTTCTAGCTCCCTCAACTTTAAGTAATGCTGTATGTTCATGTTGATTACGAAGTCCACGTTTATATCCAGTGAAAATAGCCTTAGCGTAAAGACGTCCATGCCTTTTAAAAGGTCTCTTTTTCAAAGGAGGAGGCTCTACTGACTTCTCCTTTGGTTTCTTAATTGTTTTTGTTTTGGCCTTTGGATCAGCAGATATATCTGCCATTTCTAATAGAAAAAAATCATACTTATAAAATTTGAAATTATATAGCAATAAATTCTATGCTTAGAAAATTCACCACTAATTAAAATAATCACATGACACAATTATTAAGTAAGATTTCAAATTGAGACAGCGTTATAGGTTATGTTGAAATAATATTCGAATTGTAGACAAAAAACAACAATTTTCATCTTAGTATCGAAACAAGATGTTTGTAACACGAACATTTTGTAAAATTTTCGAAGAACAACTTAGTGTTGAGATATTGGAATTTTATAACAAAGTACACATTTTTGTTGTTATACGACTAGAAATGCCATGCAGAGACAGATGCTTGTAATCCATTGAGATCAATGAAAAATAAGCCGAATATGACAATTAGGATAATTACGTGACATTATAAAACAATTAATAACAATTTGTAACTATTATTAATCTGTAAATTTCATTAATTTAACATATTTTAAGTAATAAATGCAAGAAATTGACACCAGTAAACGTACCGGATGTATATCCTGAACTGAAAGAAACAGGAAACTGTAGCCCTCTTACGGCAAAAGCTATAAGACAAATTCAATAATGATGCAGTATGTGGTATTACCAAGCGAGTTTCATTTTTGTGAGGACATAACTACAGACGTTGGTCTGAATATCTTTGAACGAAATGAACTCAGGATTGTTAAAGCAGAGACTTAACTCTTTAAAATAAAATCAAGTTAATTATTTTACAACTTTTTTTTTACGAAATTATAACGAAATTATAACGAAATTATTACGAAGTTTAAAGTATTGACAATGTTTTTAGTGTATGAATATTTTCGTCGTTTTTTAAGAATATCTCATGAATTTTGTGTATTTGATTTAGGCCAGAATTTTCTATTTTTTATTTCCAGTTAACATTTTGTGCGAAACGCGCGATTACAGCGCCCCAACGGTGAAATACGCAATATACTTCTTATAATTCTCGAACGTAATCGATATTTTTCACGATCGATTTTTAAACAAGAAGAATGGCGGAACGAAGCACACCTCATTAGTAAAGAAGGAATTGTATCCAAAAAAATCATCCAGAAGTTCTAAGATAAAAATTTAAATCAATAGTTGTTAGATTTGTGTTTGTATTATGAATTTTTAATATAAAACGTGGCTTATTTTTGGCTTCAACTCAATGTAAGATTTAACCAAATAATTGTTACATATAATTTTTAACAACCAAAGAAATAATAGCATATAAACATTTAAACAGAACTATGCTAAAAGTTATTTATAATTTTATACTAAAATTTAATTTCAATTCTAATTAATACAAATAATGTAACCTTGTAACTGACTAACTTATTATTATATATATATTTTGTTATACACGCTTTTACACACACACTTTTATTATAACATTTTCTACTCATTTGTTGATTTTTTAACTTCATACTGCGTAATTCTTAACAATTCTAATATTAAATTCAGTAATAATTTATTAAGAATGTATTTAATGGCTAATAATAATTTTACTGCTTAATTAATAACATGTCTCAGTTTAAAGTATTGATAATTTTTCATCAAGTGAGTGTATATTTTTGTTCTTCTTTAAGAATTTCTCATGAATTTTGTACATTTAATTTAAACCATTTGATTTATTTTTTATTCCAAGTTATTTCCTGCGAAACGAGCGATTACAGCGCTCCTAACGGTAAAATACGCAATACGCTTCCTATGATTCTCGAACGTAATCGATATTTCTCAGGATCGATTTTTAAGTATGTATGGCGGAAACAAGCACACCTCATCTGTAAAGAAGAAACTATTATCCAGAAGAATCATCAAGAAAGAAGTATCATTCAGAAATTCTCAGGTAAAAATTA